GGGGGGGGGGGGGGGGGGGGAAGGGTAACACTGGCCTGCCAGCAGTCATGGCGTTGAACCAGCACCGCTTGGAAAACCTCACCACGAACAAAGAAAACAGGAGAGGAATTCGCCGGAATGACGACTAGAGAAATGAGCCCTCGGCATCCGCCACCACCCCTAACACAACCGCCGCGTGACAGGTCTGCACACTTCCGCGTGTGTCAGCGGCGGTTGTGACCATCGCACGGGATGGCCACAAATCGCGAAGACAAAAGCGGCAGGACCAGAGAGAGGTCCAAGCATGTGCACCTGTACACCGTGCGTGATCAAAAGAAAGAAACACAAACAAGCTGCATCGCTAGTTCGAGCGCATTCACTGCGCGTTATCCCCACATTACCTTTCCGCACGCGTCGACGGCGGCGTTAAGCACCACGTCGTTCGGCGGCACGCCGTCCTCCCTCATGTCTGCCAGGAGCCGCATGGCCGACCTCGGGTCGTGCGCCCTAGCGCAAGCGGTGATCGCAGAGGCGTAGCACTGGGAGTTCGGGCTGGGCGCGGCGCAAAAAAGAATAAATCGAGGGGGGGGGGAGCGGAGGGGAATAATAAACGTGCTTGACGAGGGACATATGGGGCTACGTATATCACGTGCTGCTTGCGTACAACCTTTCAGCCATTTGCATCATCCGACACTCACGCATCATCCCTAGCGTCGTCCGCACTCTCCTGTTCCTATCAAAATACTCTCACCCGTCAACCCAACCGGAACCCGACCGGAACCGGAACCAAATCACGCAAAAAAAATTACACTTGGGCCATCCGATGGATCGATCCGAGCCTTGCCGGAACCAGAACAGAACCAGCAGAGACCCGCTCACCTCGGCCCTTCGCGTCGCATGTCCTGGATCAATTCCAGGGCCTTTTCGTGGGCACGGGTAGGCTTCGGGCCGGCCACGGCAGCAGCCATAGGCATGTCTCCTCCTCCTCCTATCGAGGTATGACAGCAGCGGTGCGCGCAAAGACACCGCAAGCAACAACAGATGTTTGAGTTCCGTGTACAGCGCAGCTCTCAGAGGAACTCGACGAGCGTGCCTCGAGAAGGCAGTCGAAGTCTTTCGCTAGTTCCTACAGCGATGCGTCCTTGTGATAGGTCCGAGCATAGGAGGCAAAAAACAAGTCCGCTCCTCTCACCGTACCCACTACCTGTCTTCGAGATGCTTTCAAGGGCCCTCTGCGGCATGTCACAAGAGCAGTCCTTTGACATCGGGAAGACGACTCTCCCTTACTACCGCTAATTCTGTCAAAAAATAAAGACAAATTTCGCGCTGAACAGCAATATCGCGTGTTTCTAGATAGACGACGCGCTGCCATCATTCACCTATATCATCAGCACAAAAAAACGTCGGTTGCATCCGCCGTTTGCTTGCCGTCCAAAACCTCAACTTTACCTCCCATCCCAAAGAAGGGTAAGAGGTGCAAATAGAGTTCCAACCAAACGCTCTCATCACCTATCCCGCTAAAAAGAGAAAAACTACCGTACGAACACACGTGACTAAGAGCTTCAGTAACACATGGACGAGAAGAGAAAATGCGTCCTCCTCCTTACCGCCGCTGCCGCCTCCCTCGTTGGCCCCTTTCCTGCCCCAGGTGCTCCGATTCTGCGTGCCGGCGACCTCTCCCAGCGCGAAGATGGCAGAGCCGAAGCAAACCACATCGGGCTTTACTCGCCTGGTCGGCATCTCCGTTAGTAGCGCCACTGCCTGCGGTTTCAAATCATATCACAATGTGGTGGTAGTACATCACTTTTCTGTGTCTCACAGACAACGGCCGACAAGAAGATCGGTTTCGATCATATGCTCAAGAAATCACGGGCACGGCACATGCCTGACTCTCTTACATGAGGCGAAGGTCAGGGTTAAGCCTATTATGTATGAAGTAGGATCTAGTGCTGGATTCTGAGCTGATGCTCAATCCTCTTCATTGAAGTCTCGAGCCTCGCCAACAGGGCATCATGCTTTCACCCGACCGACTCCTCCCAAGGAGCGATAGCCGTATCACACGGTGCGAATTCAGGTACCCACCCCACGTGCAGATCCCACCTCGTACCCCATGCAACGCCGAGCACCCGCAAATAGCAGAAAACTAGGGCTCGGCCTTCAACACGGCCGGTTCATCTAACACGGACGATGCTCAATGGCGGCGGCAGTGAAACGCCTTGGCACAGTCGCCAAAACCCTTGTCCAACTGCCAATAGGGCGGGAGGAGGGAAATAGTAACGGATGGGGGATATCCCCTTTGTACCGCCGTGCGGGTGTGTTGGGGGGGGGGCTTGTACACACGCTTTCATATCTACGGAAAAGGAGTTTCGGCCACTTTTTCTGCTCCACGCAGACACCTCGCCAGCATCTCTCACCTCGACGGGTCTCCCGGCCTTTCCGCAGGCGTTAATGGTCGCGGCGTAGGCGAACGCGTCGGGCCTGTCGCTGCCACCCTTTCCCATGCCGTCTAGCACCTCTACCGCTTCCCTCCATTTTCCCGCTTGGCCCAAGCAGGTGATAGCCACGCTGCGGTCGTCGTTCGTGGGGTTGTGTAGAGCGCGCGGAGGATAGGTCAATGTTGTCAGGGTTTGCTGTGTCTCGATGTACGCTGTGAACATCTAGTGCTCTGGTTTTCACATAGTTCGGTAAACTGGATTCCGCATGAACGTAAAGTTCAACTGACTCACGTGCACACAATGGCGTTCTTGGGTCCCTCTTCGAGTGCCTCCAGCATACCCTCGAAGTCCCTGGCTTTCGCGAGCTCCTTGATTCTAGCCGCCAGCATCTTGCCTTTCTCCACCTTCCGAGAACACACGACCAATCAGGCTAAGTTAACAAATAGGCCATGGGGTAAAACGATTCTGATTCGGCTTGCGGCGAGAAGCGTAGGGAAAGATTAGAAAGGGGCCATGCGCATACCTTTTCTTCTTGAGTCTGTTACCGGCGGGGGAACGCCCCCCGATATATTTCATCGAAGATGGCGAATCCATTGATGGTAGGTTCCCACGCACGTCGCTATTCACCGTAACCTAACCGTAACCCTAGTCACTGTTGTCGGGCACGGCAGCAGCGCCGACGCCACAAAAGCACCGGAGAATAATTACTGCATCCTCGTATTGCCGTCCCTGCCGAGCCCTGCGTGTGTGAGGCTCTGGGCACGCTCAAAATCTGTATCAATAAAACAAAACTTTGCAGGCCGTAGCAGTAGTTGTAGTATGCATGGTAATTATTGTTGTGGTCCATTTCCAGAAACGCGCAGTTCCCGTCTCTGGTTCTTTCGCGAGGAGGGAGACCAAGGCACACAAGATGCAGCGCGTCGTGTCTCGCGCCCACCGCGGCCGCGGTAATGGCGCGTTGAGTCTGCGGAGGTGGCGCCGCAACCGGCTGTGGTACACAAAAAAAATGTCAAATCCGTTTTGGTAGAGCGCTGCTGCTGCTGCTGTGCTGTGCCGTGGAGGTCTGTTTTCGAACAACCTCGGCTTCCAATCCAGCGCTCTCCCTTCGCACGGAGGGAGACCGAGGCACGCAAGGTGCGGCACGCCGTGTCTCACGCCCAGAGCGGCCACCGTTGTGGCTCATGAGTGACACAGCAGCAGTAGCAGTCAGGGGGGGCTGCCGCTGTACAGGGGGGGGGGGGGG